CTGGTTTTAATGCTTCATTTTTAGTGTTATGACTTTTATTTCATTTCCTTTGTACTATCTAGGACCTTCTGATCAATTTGAATTAAAGGTGTTCTTGTTTTATTTCTAGTCTTGGAAAAGTTTTAACATTAAACCATTAGTATAGTGTTTGCTATAAAACTTACATAGGTATTTTTGATTAGGGTGAAGCCATATATTCTTTATTTCCAAATTTGTTTTTGTGTCCCTTGCCTTTGGTAAGGCTTAGTATTACAGCTTGTTGTTTGATAATTTGTTTAGGATTTTTATTCTTATCTGATATTTATGCCATTATGAGAAAACTATAAAGTAAGCATATTTTGAAATGGGTTGGAATATCATGGAGAAAAAATTATATCTTGGATTGGGGTACTTTTACAGTAAGAATTTAATTCAGTAAATTATTGATACTGCAATCTAGAAAATATATTGCCTTTAGATGGATATTGAAATGACTAGAAATCACAGGTAATTTGGTATTTTTTACAAGGAAGGATGGGATTTTTTATTAAAAACTAAGATGGTTTATTAAAAAGGTAATATAGTGCTATGGTATTTGTGTTGCTATCATACAAAGAGGTATAGAGTATCATGCTGTAAGATGATATTACCTGGATAGGTAGTACTCTCTTTTCAGCAAGAAAATAACATTCTTTAGATTGATTTTATGTATGTTTCAAAAATATATATAGGTTACTTACTTGATATGTGTGTAATCCTTTTTAAAATATGTAATATGTATATAGTTTTAAAACCAAAAAAATATTAAATGTTCTTGTTTGTAGTTAAAAGTGAAGTGTATTTCACATAATCATTATACATTAATGTCATATTTGTTTCTTTATAGATTAGAATATGGCTACATATCCCTGCTGTCATGCAGCACATTATCCCTTTTAGGACCTATGTTATTAGGTAAGTTTATAAAATCTTTTCCTCTTGATTAACAATGTAATACATTTAAATAGTTTATAACATAGTGTAGAATTATGTTGTTTGAAAGTCCCTTGTACTCATATCCTCTAGAGAAAATTTTAATTGACAGTTTGGTGTATAATATTTTTTATGCTCATGTAGGCTCATATTTAATGTTTACTTTTAAGCAATTTATGTGGGGCCTTTTTTAAAATTTTTTTTTTATTTTTAAGTAATACCTACACCCAGCATTGGGCTCAAACTCAAAACCACTACCTAGATCAAGAGTTGTATGCTCCACCAACTAACTGAGCCAGCCAGATTCTCCTGGACCTTTTTTTTTTTCTTTTACATGAATATATAGAGGTTAACAGTGGTTACATGGTATCCCGCCATATGCAGTCAACAAAGATATACAAAGATATTATGTTCTAGGCATTGGGGATATAGCAGAGAAGAAAAGAATTCTCTTTTTGTGCAGTCTCTGTATCAAATAAGTAGATGATACAGTTCATCAGAAAGTTGTAGGTATTATAGAGAAAAGTTGCAGCAAAGGTGAATTGAGAGTTTTAGAGGATGGGTCACAATTTTAAATATGGGGTTATAGAAGGCCCAATTGAGGAGGAGGTGACATTTAAGTCTCAGTCTAAGAAGGAAACCTAAGAGTATGGAGAAAGAATTGTATTGATGGAGTGTGAACTGTTGGGAGTTCTAAGATTGTACTTTTTGGCAATTTTTATGAGTCCTTTATACTTTTTCTCACTCATTTGCAAAGATTTGAGTGCCTATTTTCCCATTATATTTGAGTTTTTGGAGAAGGTGTCATGAAAAGAATCAGTGATGAATCCTATGCAAGTAAGTAATGTGATAGAGGGGGAATATGAGGTCTTTCTGAAGGGTGGCATCTCAAGATCATGAATCAGCTAATCAGATGATAATTGGAAGAACATATTCTAGGTAGAAGGAACATAGGATGTAAGCTTTGAAGTTGGAAAGAACATGACATTAAAGAAAGTAGAAGCAGACTGTTGTGGAATATAATGTGTAAGGGGAAATAATTATGATAATAAGGTTGGATAAGCAAGGGCAGGTTATTCAGGACCTTAAAACCATTATAAAGAGCTTGGATTTAATTTTACCAAAGGGACTCTATTGAAAGGTTTTCAGCAGGTGAGTCATGATGATTTTTAGAAGATCACTTTCGCTTTTAAGTGGATCATAAATTGTAGGATTGTTGGAGTAGAAGCTGGGAGACCAACTGAAAGGTTAGTGCAGTAGTTTTGGAAAGGAATAATGGTATGATGGTTACTGGTAAAAGGATTGTTTATGGTGATTTTGAAAATTGAATTGATGAAAATAAAAGGGACAAGACTGGTGATTCTGGGATTTAAAGGGGTAAGCATCATTACTTAAGCTCCCCACCTCAGTTTCTCTTTTGTGCTGTATCATTATCTGAGATGTGAAAGACTGGGAGAACTTCAAGACTTAATTTTGAGATGTCTGTGCACTGTTGAATTGGGAGTATAAGCATATAATTAAGAACAGTATCATTAATTGAGTTATCAGAATAAGAACAGCAATTATTAAACACCTCATTGAAGTGAATGAGAAGTTATCTGGGGAGAGAATCTAGAAAGCAAAAGGAAGTGTGTTGAGGATGGAACCTTTGTATCAGTTTGCTTTTGCTGTGTAAGAAAAACACCCCTAAATCTTAGTGACTTAAAATAATAGCCATTTATTATTTCTCACAGTTCTTGGGCTGACTAGTTCTTTTGTTCTGGGCTGACTTGGCTGGACCTGCATGCTCTAAGGATATCACCTCACTCATATATCCTCTGGTTGACAGGCTGATTGTTACTGGAAGTGGAGTGGAGTTCCTATTCATCTTGTAGTTGGCTATGTTAGTTGGGGCATCAGCCATGTCTCCTTCATCTAGCAGCCTAATCTGGGGTTCCTTTTCTTGGTGATGGAAGAGTTCCCATCAAGAAAGGGCAAGCTCAAAGGCTTCTTAAGTTTCTGTTTATGTCACATCTTTTATTGTTCCATTGGTCAAAGCAACTTTCATGGCAAAGCTCAGATTCAGGGGAGTAGAGAAATAGATGATACCTCTTGATGGGAAGAATGGCAAAGTTGTATTGCAAAGACCTATGTAAAGTGATAGGAGTAGTTTGGAAAGGAATGATGGTATGATGGTTACTGATAAAAGGATTGTTTATGATGATTTTGAAAATTGAATTGATATAAGTGAAAATAAAAGGGACAAGACTGGTGATTCTGGGATTTAAATGGCCTGGCTTGAGCCGAAGGCAGTGCTTAACTGACTGAGCCACCCAGAAACCCTGCAAATAATTTTTTAAATAGAAATATGTATTACTGTCTTGGGGATGAGATGGGGAGGAAGACCTGGTATCCGAATCTATATTCTTGCATAATAGTAATTTGCTAGAGCTAAGTAGTTAGCTGAATCCTTTAGAATGGATATGCTTTTTCTGGTTTACCAAGGTCTCCATGAACTTTTACATGAATCCTTTACAAACCTTGAGGATTACTAATGTTGAAAGGTTGGATAGAGGAGGTGGAACTAATCAAATAGAATAGGCAGGACCTGAGGAAAACCAGGGGTTTGTGATGTCTGGAAGCCAAATAAGAATAATTTTTAAGATGTACACATTTTAAAGAGTTTTGGCTGTGTGGGGAGTAGATGTACTTTACATAAGAAAGCAGCAGGAGCTGTGTACATGACAGGTAGGAGAATAAAAAACCTCACTGGAGGTGCAGAATCCAACGTTAAATGACTTCGCTCTTGGCAGTTTCTGATTCAAGTTCGACTCAGCAAAGGACACAGTGCCTCAGGTCACAATCTTTGAAGCATCACTTAGAAATAACTTAAATTGGGAATGTTAATCCTAGGATGTCAGGTTCTACTTTACTAAACATTTTGGAGGTGTGGAGCAAACGAATATTATTGAATTATTGAAGGGTCTTTAGGAATATTTTGCAGGTTTTTATGTATGTTTTATTTCTGAATTGTTTAAGGTATTTATGCAAGCTCTCTGATCAGGAGTTAAGACAGAGTGCGGCTCGAAACATGGCTGACTTAATGTGGAGCACAGTGAAAGAACCATTGGATACAACATTATGCTTTGATAAAGAAAGCCTAGATCTTGCATTTAAGTACTTCATGTCACCGACTTTGACTATGAGGTTGGCTGGACTAAGTCAGATAACGGTAAGCTATATTTATTTATTTTCAGTCATTTTTTACTTGCCTTCTGCACTGTCATCATCATCATCATCATAATACCTGCTATTTATGGAGCACTTGTGTGAGGCATTGTGCTAAGTATTTTACATGTGTTACTTTGTATGGTCCTGATAAATAATTTCAGTATTTTCCTTATTTATTTTTTTAAGATTTTTAAAAATTCATTTATTTTGAGAGAGAGAAAGAGCACAAGTCGGGGGAGGGGCAGAGGGAGAAGCAGGCTCCTCACTGAGCAGGGAGCCAATGGGGGGCTTAATCCCAGGACCCTGGGATTATGAACTGAGCTGAAGGCAACGCTTAACCGACTGAGCCACCCAGAAACCCTGCAAATACTTTTTTAAATAGAAATTGTATTACTGTCTTGGGGATGAGATGGGGAGGAAGACCTGGTATCCATGAGTCTGTATTCTTGCATAATAGTAATTTGCTAGAGCTGAGTAGTTAGCTGAATCCTTTAGAATGGATATGCTTTTTCTGGTACCAAGGTCTCCATGAACTTTACTCCTTTGTAGTGTTATTCTTGGAGTAACTAGATTTTACACAGGTATTGGACTTTGTAAATATAGAAAATACTTGTTGACATTTTTCTAAAGTAGATCTTAAATGAATTTATTGAAGAATCCTTTCCTTAAATTTTATGTCTGTGGTGACATACACTTGCTTGCATTAGATTTTTGTATTTTTCCCTTATTTAGCTTTGTTTTGTTTTTTTTCTCATGTATTTAGTGGAATAAAGCATGAGTATTACTGATAGTGTGAAATTATTTATTTTAATATGGTGAAATAACCAGACTAATTGTTAAGTGTGTGTGAAATTCTTGTCTTATATTTTATAATTTTGATCTGGTTATTGATTTTATATATATCAAACCATGTTTCTTGACAGTTGGTAACATACCAAAAAAATTTGTAAAAAAACCCTTTAATTTCTTTTCTCTAATTATAGAATCAACTTCACACCTTCAATGATGTATGCAATAATGAATCCTTGGTATCAGACACAGAAACGTAAGTAGGAACATTAATTTATACATGTGTACCAGTTTATTGTGCAGCAGCTTATATGGTAAATAATAATTGTGACTATTAGGTTTGAAGTGTTTACTAGAAATTCTTTGCCTTGTGGCTTCATTTGTATAGTCTTGAATAAGCTTTTAGAACAGTATGTTGAAACATTTGTTTTTTTAGAAGGTATACCAGCACAGTATTAGTGTCACAACATGCATGTACTATTTATAAGGGAAAATTTAATAGTGAAGAGTATGGTATTGATCGTTTTCAGAAAGCACTCTTGATGCCGATGATGTGAAGACCTCATTTAACACATTTTATGGGGAAAAAACAAGTTAATGATGTTCATGTTTAGAAAGAAGTAGTTGTTATAGCTTAGGACTTTTCAGTATCTTAGAAATATTTAATTATTCCAGTATTCCATTTAGGTGTTTGTCCATATAGAAATCCATTTTTAAATCTAATTTGGGTAGTAATATCTTCTGCTTGAACAGAATTGTATAGTTTTAAGGTGTTAGAAAATTCATAATTATATGAATGAGTCATACTTTTTCTTTAACTTTTATGCATCGATTTTGGTTCTGCCCTGTGGAGTTAATCTCAGTTGAACCCAACCCTTCATGAATTTGAAAGCCAAAGATGGTGTCTCTTTACTCTTTTTCTTCTCCAGGCTAATGACTTCTTATTCTTCCCAATGTATGTTATGGTGTTTAGATTTATTACCAGACCATTCTTTCATCTTTGGCAACATTCTTTGTTCATGATCCCCTTAAAATATGTTGCCTAGAATTGGTCATAGCTTTATAAATTCTGGGTCATACTAGGAGTGCTATTTCCCACTGTCAGGACATTACATAGACTATATCCAGTATGTAAAACTACAGCTCTGGATTTCCCTTTTAATCCTTTTAGTGCTGCCTCCTCCATAAGACTGCCTAAGAGAATGTTAAATTTACTAATGCAGTAATCTCCGCCCCTCCTCCCGCTCCTGCACGCTCTCTCTCTCAAAAATAAATAAAATCTTTAAAAACAAAGTATAAGGAATATATATTCTAAAGACATGATAAAGAGGGAGGAGAGTCAGAATTTTGAGGAATAGTGGGTAGAGGTAGTTCAAATTGGGAAAGAAGAGCGTTCTTACAATGTGAGAAAATTCGAACAAACAAAAAATGTGATAAATATTGTTGCAGCATATAAATGGTGTCTCTCCTTTTTAGCAGTTTTATTAAAGTATAGGTACTGTACCTATCATAAAATTCATCTGTTTTTATAGTGAATTTTAGGAAATTGATAAGGTTATGCGAAAATCATCACAGTCTAGTTTTAGAACATTTCCATTGCTTCAGAAAGATCCCCTTTGCCAATTTGTAGTCAGTTCCTAGTCTGAGTCCCACTGATATGCTTTCTCTCTATAGACTTACCCATTTTGGACATTTCATATGGATGAAATTATGATAGTCATCTTTTTCATTTAGTTTCTTTCAGTTATTTCACTATACTGTTTTTCTTTTTTAAAGATTTTATTTATTTGACAGAGAGAGACACAGCGAGAGAGGGAACACAAGCAGGGGGAGTGGGAGTGGGAGAGGGAGAAGCAGGCTTTCTGTGGAGCAGGGAGCTCGATGCGAGACTCTATCCCAGGACCCTGGGATCATGACCTGAGCCGAAGGCAGACGCTTAACAACTGAGCCACCCAGGCACCCCACTGTACTGTTTTTCTTGAGGCTCATTTATGTTGTGGGGTGAATTAGTACTTCATTCCTTCTTATTGCAGAATTCTGTTACATTATGTAGATACAACATTTTGTTTTTCCATTTACCAGTTGTTGGCTATTGTGATTATTTCCAGTCTTTGGTTAGTGTGAATAATGCTCCTTTATTATTTTAGGGGTTTATTTATTTTTAGAGCTGTGTGCCCATGTGATGGGGGAGGGGCAGAGGGAGAGAATCTCAAGCAGATTCCTCATGGAGGATCGAGCCTGAGGTGAGGCTCGATCTTTTGACCCTGAGATCATGACCTGAGCCTAAATCAAGAGTTGGACACTTAACTGACGAGCACCCAGGTGTCTGTCCCCTGAATAATGGTCCTTTAAACATTTGTGTACCTTTTTATGGAAATATGTTTTCATTTCTCTTAATAAATAGGAGTATAATGGCTGGTTTGTATGCTCATTTTATGTCTCACTTTTTAAAAAATATTGTCAAAATGTTTTCCAGCATAGCTGCATCATTTTACATTCCTACTGGTAATATATGAGGGATCCAGTTTCTCCCCATTCTCAGCAGCACTTGTTATTATCTGTGTTTTTGATTATAGCTATGCTAGTGGGTATAAAGTAGTATTTCATTATGGCTTTAATTTGCATTTCCCTAATTAATGATGTTGAACATCTTTTTATATGGTTATGTGCCTTTCTATTTTGTGGGGGGTTTTTTTGGTGAATTGTTTACGCATATTTTTGCCCAGTTTTTAATTGAATTGTTTTTTTTATGGACTAGCATAAGATCTCTACTACAGAATGTTCATGGGTGCTTAAGAAGACTATTTTAGTTTTCCTCCCACCTTTCTGTGCTGCCATAATGATGCACATGAATGTTCTGGCAGTTGCTCTCAGGAATATTAACAATGCTGAAAAGAGAGGCAGATGCCAGGTTCTAATTAGGCCATGCTCCAAAGTCATCTTCTGGTTCTGTGATGATGAAGCAGGTTTACATTGGTAAATTTTGAAATCATTGATAAGCACAGAGTTGGGAAAATTGTTTTGAATCTCACAGGCAAGTTAAACAAGTGTGGAGTGATCAGCTCCAGATTTGATATACAAGTCAGAGATCTAGAAAAATGGCAGAATAATCTGTTCCTGTCCCGCCAGTTTGGTTTCATTGTGCTGACAACCTCAGCTGGCATCATGGATCATGAAGAAGCAAAATGAAAACACTCAGGAGGGAAAACCCTGGGGTTCTTTTTCTAGGGATGTGTAATACGTACATGCAAATAACATGCCTCAGTGGACTCTTGTGCCTTTTTTTTTTTTTTTTTTTTTTTTTGCTTTTCTTGTATGGAGTGTTTTATATAGATGTCTGTTAGGTCTGATGAGTTTGTAGGATTGTTTGCCTTCTGTATTCTTGTTGATTTATTGCCTAGTTCTGTTATTAAGGGTAGGTTATTGAAGTCTCCAATTCCATTTAATCCTCCTCATTTTGTGGATTCCATATTTGTGAATTTGCCTGTTTGCTGCAATTTATTTCTAATCCCCAAATCAATACTTATGCTGTTTTCATGGTCATTTGTGGACATGCACAGAGCAGTAAAAAATTTGTCTCTCAAAATGCGCATTCCCAATTGAAGTCAAACAAGGTGATGCTCTGCCTTCTTGTTTTAGTGCTGGTACAGAGGTGACCAGAGGATGGAAATGGTAGCAGGCAGTGCATTGTAGTGCAAGAAGCTTCCGTTCTGAGGTCATTTGAGTAGAAAGTGAATCCCAACTCTAGGTTAGTGGGACAGCCTCAGCCACGTCACCTAAACAATTGTGAATCTCATTTTGTAAGATAGAGAAAAAGGAAGATAAGTTGTTTTTTAGGACTTAAGAAGAAAGTGTTTAGTATTAGCTAATTTAGTACAGCAACTTTATAGAACTGTCATGAGCAACAAAACTGACTGTATTGTCTTTATTTCCCTTCAGTTGTGTGTATGTATATGTGTGTGTGTGTATAATGGAATACTATTCAAACATAAAAAAGAATGAAATCTTGCATTCATGACAACATGGATTGACCTTGAGGACATTACAGTAAGTGAGATAAGTCACCCAGAGAAAGACAAATATCGTAGGAACTCATACGTGGGCTTGAAAAACAATAACAAATCCAAGCTTCTAGTGATTGTCAGAGGTGGGGGTGGGGAGTGAGTGAAATGGGTGAAAGGGCTCAAAAGGTGTAAACTTGCAGTTAAAAAATAAGTCGGGGTTGTAATGTATAGCACGTCAGCTATAGTTAGTAGTACTGTACTGCATATTTGGAAGTTTCTAAGAGATTAGGGTTCTTATCACAAGGAAAAAAAATTTTTGCAACTGCACGGTAATGGATGTTAACTAGAGTTAGTGTGGTGATCATTTCATAATATATACAGATATTGATCATTGTTGTACACGTGAAGCTAATAAAATGTTATATGTCATGTCTCTGATGGCATTTTTATGTAAGAGGTAAAAACCTCCCTTTGCGTCACCCTTACTGAAATGGGAGCTTCAAGATAAATTTTAGTTCTCTGAAATATGTCTTTAAATTAGTTTCACATATGGATTGTAGAAAAATCATGTACCTAGATCCATGTAAGATTTGCGTTTAATCCAACCTGCAGTCTTCCAATCAAAGGCAAATGGCAAGTCACATTCTTGTACTGAGTCATGCTTCTAAAGAGAACCCACTTTAGGATGCAGTTGATGGTAATGATATGTTCTTTTTACACAGCAGGTGAGAATAATTTGAAAAAGGATTCAAGGGTTCAGTATTAGCTGATTTAGTGCCCTGGCTTTATATAGTATAACTGGCACAGAGAGTAGCAAGAATTGGCTGTATTGTTTGTCTTTTTCTCCCTTCAAGTTCTATTGCTTTTTGTTCATGTATTTTGGGACTTTTTTTTTTTTTAGGTCCATATATATTTATAGTTGTTATGTTCATGATAATGTCATCCTTTTATCAGTATAAAATGTCCCACTTTGTCTCTTTGAAACATTTTTTGGCTTAAAGTTTATTTTTTCTGATGTTAGTAGAGCCATTGCAACTTTATTGTTTTCATGGTATATCTTTTTCCATTCTTACTGTTTTTCCTCGTTCTCTTATCTTCAACCTGTTTGTGTTTTTAGATCTAAAGTCTTTATTTGTATTTTTTTAAGTCTTTTTTTTTTAAGATTTTATTTATTTATTTGAGACAGAGAGAATGAGAGAGAGAGAGAGCACATGAGAGGGGGGAGGGTCAGAGGGAGAAGCAGACTCCCCACTGAGTGGGGAGCCCGATGTGGGACTCGATCCAGGGACTCCAGGATCATGACCTGAGCCGAAGGCAGTCGCTTAACCAACTGAGCCACCCAGGCGCCTAGAAACATGTTTTAGAATTTTCTC